TCACCTCGTCTGTTTGTCTTTATTGTGTCTGTTTCTGCTGGATGTCATGTTACCGCTCCGTCTGAGTTTATTTTTGACCATAAAAGAGAAATGAGACTTATTTCTGTGGTCAAACTCACGTCTCTCACTTCTGTCAGTCCAAACTTAGAGATACAGACAGAGAGAGATTTGGATTTAAAGACAAACTTCATGTAAAAACGACTTTAATCCCGTTAATCCCTGACTCTTTAGACTTAATCTGGATTTTAAACGTGTTTAAAGTTGTTTCACATTTTGTAAAGTTTTAAGTCCACATCAACTCAGAACTCCAGGGTCCTGGTCCAGGATCAGGAAACTCTGATCTGTGTCCTGATTTGTGAGTCCAATAAAAAGTTCGTTATGATTCCGACTTTTAGATTTATTATTCCGATAAAAGCGGCGCTGCTTCATCTGTGTGGTGCAGACGTTCGTAGACACGCCCACAGCTGGCTGTAAACACCAGAGGAGATAACGACAGTAAGTTCACAGTCCAAGTTCATGGAGTCACGAGTTCATGATGGAGGACAGCATGTGAGAGACGAACCAGAGTTCAGGTTTATGAGCCGATTATGGTTTTATACAGACTGATGGATCAGGATCAGATCTCCACAACATGAACTCACCCTGAGAGAGAGAGAGAGAGAGAGAGAGAGAGAGAGAGAGAGAGAGAGAGAGAGAGAGAGAGAGAGAGAGAGAGAGAGAGAGAGAGAGAGAGAGAGAGAGAGAGAGAGAGAGAGAGAGAGAGAGAGAGAGAGAGAGAGAGAGAGAGAGAACCATCTTTTTATTTTGTGGTTTTTATACAAAAATCTTTGAATATCAGTCAATAGTTATTAGTTATTGATGACATTTGGTAATATATCGATATCTCTGTGTTCTCTTATGTCTGTGTCGTCAACATTTGAACATTTTTGAGCGGTCCGCTCTTTCTGACTGTAAACAAAGACGTTCTCCGCCTCCTCTAACCTGATTGGTTGTGAGGCAGACGCTGCTCCCCCGTGTCGTTCAGGAGCCCAAACAAAGTTAGCGTGCTACAATATCGGACAGTAGAAACCAACCAGAAAGTTCGGAAAATTGTCTGAATCCTCCTTTGGCCACGACTGCCGACACAAGCGAGAAAACACAGTAAATACCGGAGACTCTGGAGGAATAACGGGCGCTTAAAACGGAGGTAGACCGGACAAGAGCTAAAAAGCCGGGTCAACATAAACCATGGGGGACGCTTGGGGATCTTGGTGACCCTGTAACCTTTCTGCTGGACAGGTAAACCGCTTTAACAAAGTAAGACAAGTGTCTGTAACAGAAGTGTTTCTTGTCAAACGGACCTGCTGTAGCGTGTTGTAGCGCCATTGCTAAACTGTCCTCCCTCGGGTCCTGGACTATGTCACTTTATCCTAGTTGTAGAAGTCCTGCAAACATTGTGTTTGCTGGTAGTCTGTTGGCATCTACAGTAGCACCAATGCTTTTGACTTTCACCTTGACTGGGCCCCATTTGTAATGATCTGAAGGATTTATCTGCATTATATCTGAATTTAATTGGAACGATGCGAGCGAGCAGGAGCGTCTGTTTGTGGGCGGGGAAAACTGGTTGATCCTGACTAACCTATCTTTAACTGTGTGAGTAAACGTACTCATACTTCCTGTCATACTCGGCTGTGAACATAATGATAACTTTATTTCTATCGCTCTGATGGGGTTTTCTTTACTTTCAGCGTCAGCCCCGAGTGGACACTTTAGGAACTGCAGTCTTCGTGCTCCTTCGTCACGTGCTCATGAGTAAAAACATGAAGCTGCAGTAAGTCAGAGGTCCACAGTCGTATCTGTTTCTGTATTAGATGTATTTTCCTTTGCAGCTCCTCTGTGGGCCCCTCATCTCCTCACGCTCACCTCCCTCTCTTGCTTTATTCATGCCTTTCTCCGCCGCGGGGAAGGTTCATTTGGGGTTTTTAGCTGCATTTGTAACTCTAACAGACCTCAGCAGTCAGGCGGCGCGGCCTTCAGCGGCGATCCCCTAGAGAGCGGCGGGTTCAGGCGAAGAAAATTCACTTTCTGAGAAGCGGGAAAAGGAGCTGACATCCAGGCGGCTGTGCGGAGAGCGACCGGAGCGTTGGGTTTTTGACGGGTATGAAATTAAAGCTGGTGTGGTGGGTGTTTCTGTGTGCGGTGATACGACGGTGTTCGTTGTACGAGTATTATAAGATGAGAGTGGTGTGTCTGTCTGTGCAAAATTGGATTCCTAAGCAATGTGTGTGCATCTTTGTGTGTGTGTGTGTGGAGTTTATCATAGCAGGCCTGATATTGTCTGCTGCTGTAGATATAAAATAGCGAAAACGATGTAAGTTAAATTGGTGTTTCTAAGCAGGATTAGGCGTGACATATATGTTGCTGCTTTTTAAACTTCTACGTCAGGAAAGTGAAACTGTAAAAACCTCCTTAGTGTTCAGAGCCGTGATTTCAAAGCTGCTGCCGTCGCTCACTGTAGCTCCGTCTCCACTTTTGTTCTCCCGTTTCCGCGTGCCACAGTTCCTCGTCTCCTCTCCCTTTGAACTTTTTTACTCTCCGTCTCCGACTCCCGTTAAAATAAGCATCGTCATTAGCCCCGCTGCTCCCACATGCCATGAATCCGCGGTAATTGAGACCTTGATCATCCCACACAAGACGATGCGCGGGATGAAAGACAGAGGGAGAAAGACAAGGTCCAATTAGCATCTCTGCAGCAGCCCGACTCCCGGGAGTTCCAGGTGGTCCCAGGGATCTAATTTGAGGAAGACTTTGAGAACTCAAAAGTTATCTCCGTTGGTTTATTGCTGAAGAACGCTCTCACAGAAGATTATTATTCATGCGGAGAATACCTGTACCTGCCAATCACTGTGGTTATTACAGATCCAGTTCAGGCCCGGCTCACTGTCAGGAGAACGACAGAATTTATTATTGATCTGATCTTTTTTTTTTACTCGGCTGTGCATCTCCAGTTTCTCCATTTCTGCTTAGCTAGAGGAGGTTTCCTCACCGCACTGACAGGCAGAACACCTCCGATGGAAAAACTCTCCTCCTTATTTTACAGATTCTGGATTTTTATGCTGAATCTGTGAAATTTGGAACAAACTTTGACACTGGAGGTGTTCTGTCCTCCTTTTCTGTTCCAACTTTATCTATAGCCACAAACAGTAATGATCGAAGCCCGGAACCTCTGTGCACACTGGGGCCTGCAGCAGAGCGTGCACGTGTGGTCCAATCACAGCGAGCGTAGTGTCTTTGTTCAGACGAGGGATGTCAAGATTCATTGATTCATATCTAGGGTTGTGCCGATGTATGGTTTAATCACGATATGTGATATTTAGGTGCTGTTAAAATCGTTCCACAATTATAATTTACAGACGAGTGGCAGCGTCACTCAGTGGAGGTACGCGAAGCCGAGTACTTACCAACCTAACCCTCTTGTAGTCTTACCCACTTGGTCAAAGCCTCGGTGGCAACACGTCCAAACGAACCTCCACAGAAGTTGTCCCAAATCCAAAACAAACTCACGAATTAAGTACATTAATGTCAGCCTGACAAAAACGGGAACATTAAAAGAGAAAATGAAGAAATTTTATGACAAAATGCGTGTCCACCCACAATGCATTGCGGCCTCCCAAAGCGCTATTGGAGCTTGTCCACAATGTATTCCTATCCGCTCATTGGCTTCTTAAAGTGGAGGAGATCTGATCTGATATTTAAAAACACGAGTATTCATCATGACAACATGTCAGACGGAGCAGCAAACGTTCGTTTTGTTTTTATGTGTCTCAAAAATGCACATATAGAGATGAACAGTGAGCTGTCGAGGTTGAGAACTTTATATTTTCAGGACAGCAAATATTCTGAATCAGATTACTGTTGTTTTCGGCTTTTCTGAATAGTCTGAATGAAATCATTAAAGGCACACGCTTTAGAATCCAAACAAAAGTCAGGAAAACTTGGATTATTTCCCCTTATTATGGACTTTTAACCGCGCTCCCGTCAGGGGTGCATTCTATGGCATAACACCGGACCAAGAACAGTCGGAGTCTGATAATGACGAAACGCCTCGGCTGTATCCTCCTATTAAAAAGGTTTCATCTGCAGTATGGACGTTTTACGGTAAACCTGACACCTATCTGCAGGTTACGCCGTAAGGAAGTCGCAGCGCCGTTGTCTAACACTTCAAACCTACGTGCCCACCTCCGTGAACACCATCCAACATCGTTCGCCCAAATCGAGGTAAAAACAACATGACTGCAAAAAGTTTGGTCTACTCTGCTGCTCATTATTGACAACGTTAGTGACGTTTCTGCTAACTTTAGCTCCAAAAAGCTAATGCTCCCAACGTGGCGTTAGCTGCCTTTCGCTCGTATTGTTTTTGCGTGTCATGCTGTGCACAGAGAAGTGATTTCGCAGTTTTTTGCTATTTTTAATAACGTTAAAAGCAATGCGCTAATATCATGATAATATTGTGAATCGTGATGCTTTTGGCCACCAATATCGTGATATCGAATGTTTCATATCGACACATGCCTAGATGTGACTGCAGCGGTAGATTCAAGAAGCGTCAGATATAATTTATCAGGAACATCTACTCGGTACTCATTTCTGTACTTGGTCCAGTTTCGTGACACTAAACAATAACAGGAACTTAAACAGATTTTACTGTTAAAGAACAAAAGATCCAATTTTCCAAAGATGATGAAGCAGAGAGGGAAGAAACAATGACGCCCTGAAATCCTGAAATCACAAACACTCAATCCTCTTATTATAAGTTCTGTGAGGATTATCGTCGCCGAAACTTTCCACTCACCAGGTGTGTGGAATAAGAAACCTGAGAGGATAACGTCATGAAAAGAAAAGATAAACCAGACGAAGTGGAGGACAAAGACGGACAGGTTTAAGAGCTGAAGTCGATCCAAAAATAAGGTAGAGGTGAATGTTTCTGCCGCTGAAATCAGGCAGGTTTAAAAAGGTTTAAA